CCCCCATGCTCGACAAAAAGATATTATCCGAGATGGCTATTTCTCGGCCGTGTAGCCCAGTTCCATTTTGTAAACCCAGCCTCTGCAGTACACCGCGGTTAAGTTAAAAAACGTTTATTCATGTCCGTTATACCGAAAATAATTATCACAATAAATTAAATACACGCTATATATATATATATATATATGCATGCAAATCCGTAAGTCCCGAGTGTATTACATCACTTGAATTAGTTTCCGCTCGTGGGTATAACCATACACTACCTAGTCTCTTGCACTTTTCCTTTTCATTCAACTAGCGCAATTTACAGTGCAAACGGTCAACATCATCAGAATGTAGAGTTCGTCTTCATAACCATAAATCACCAATGCTTGACAAAAAAATATTGTCCGAGAGGGTTATTTCTCGGCCGTGCAGTCCAGTTCCATTTTGCAAACCCAGCGTTGACCAGGGCTATAAAGAATTGAGAAAATGATAAAGTATTTGTGAAATGCGTCTATTTTACATCAGTTAAGGTTACGAAAATGCCTTCTTTCACGATGACTTGGTCAGCAAAGCTGGCCAATTTATTCCAGCAAGATCACTTGTAAGTCACCAAATGTACCAGGAAGAAATGCTCACAGTTAAAGAAAATTCAGTTTTATATATTCAATTACAACGCCCGAAAACAGCCTTGAAACATGCCTCACCAATTACCTGTTGGAAAATAATAGAATCCTCGATATTCAACAGATATTTGACTATTTTCTTGGACTTTATTTCTCAAGCTTTAAATCTTACACAAGCATGAAATTTCTACCTAGTTCTCTTGGGAGTTCCAATGGTAATTCTTTTTTAAAATATCTAAAATGCCCTGTTCATCACGTGTGATATGCTTACAGCTGAGCCGCTGACACCTCTTCAACGAAGATCCGGGACATTGAATGCCAGCTTGTGTTATTGTGTACTCGTCAGCACCCCTTTGGCCCGTAACTCACTTTCCAACCCAGAATCCCACTCGCTCCTTTCCCTTGTGAATGTTGTTACTGTGACCTGGTGGTGACGACGAAGATCGTGGTTTCTGCTGGTTTTCTTTTCGAACGCGCCGTCAATCGTTCTAGGGGTGATATGGAGCGAGGGAATTTGTCCATTAAAGCTAAAATACCATCGGCCATAGCAGTCGTCATAACTGGCAATCCTGAGACTACCATTTAAGTATACATGGAGGAAATTTCTGTGAAGTTCTATAAGAACCCGCAATTCTGGGCAGAAAAATTAATTCTGATGAGTAAACTTGGAGTTACAACATCCAAGAATTAGTTATCTTTTACCCATTCTCGTTCGCAGCCAAAATGGGAGACTTATAACTCAAGTTTTTCATAAAATCGCAGTTTAAATGTTTATGAATATCTGTAATATAGTATGGGGTGAATCACTTTACGTCTATGTGTCAAATCTGCCCCGTGTAAATGTAGAAGGGAACGAGGAATGATGCATGTATCATGAAAGTAAGATAGTGACACTAACAAGGGAAAATAGTCCTTTAGTTGACCAGTACAAAATCCATTGAAAAATTACAGAGTGTCAGCATGTGGAGAAGGCTTGGACCCGCGGTATCATTTGTCTTAACCTGACACAAATACAGCCAAGGCTGACAGGGCAGTGGGAGTTGCATAAGATCTTGTATAGAGGGATTATAAGGCAAATTGGATCAAATAAAACTATGGATGCCATAATCAAACTCTAGAACAAAAATTTTTCTTTCTTTCCCAACGGTATCAACGAAATCTTTCCTTTCAACTGATTCATTCTTGTGTTTTTCACATGACTATGTTTCCACCAATAGCATTGCTCCATTCAGTGGCATATAAACCACTCACAACCCACTATTTTTCTATTCACTTTAACGTCAGATTTAATAACTATTTATGGTGGCCGATTAACATTTTCAACTCTGTTGTGAAGAACTGAATTATCTTGCAAGACCCCATCCCCAACGCAGCACCACAGTTTCAACCTTTCTTACGCGCGATAGCTTACGTGTAGCCGTAGTTTCTTCCCCGCCCCCCCACGGAGAGACGGAAGGGAGGGGATGGCCACGCGGTAGGCTACACGTGCGAGAGGATGAAGATTTTTTTCCACACTCCTCCCCACGCGTGTGACGCGTACTTCGTGCTCGCCTCGCACTTAACCCCGCTTGAATGAAAAAGCGCAATCATTCTGCAGGCTCATGCTAGGAAACTCGGACAAAGAAGGTTGGACAGTCTTGATCTTGGACACTCGGAAGAATCGGGGTGGCTGCGCTCCAGACCCTGCGCATATTTCATACATATTCGCAATGCACTTCGGGTAATGTAAATTATAACAGCTTGATTGTCAGAGGAAGTGAGGAGAATCACCTCTAAGTATCGCTATTTTTACCCTTTTGGATGTTTATGATAGTAAATATCGGTGAATTTTGAAGTGCGTGTCTTTGTTTCGTCGATCGTCTTCAACTGGGATACGGAAAAATTGGTGTTCAACTGATTGTTGTTATTTTACAAGACCGCTCCAAATGGCACTACGTGTCTGTTACGTCCGCCATGTGCCGAGATTGAGCTGTTTAATCGTTTGATACCAAGCCTGGCTACCTCATGAATCGTAAAAAAACCATTGACTACACCGTCACTCGAAGACCTAGAGAGCACGACTCATCCAATTCTCGTCAAGACAGCTCTAGTAAAGATGGGAGAGGTCGGGGTAATGGCGATATGCAAAGTAAAACTCCATTTTGGTCGAACAACGACGAGAATTTGGTAAGTAAACACACGTATTAGGTACAACATCGTCTTTTAACCTTTGAAATAAATCACTGAAAGATCTTTATTTACAGTAACACTGAAATTTTCTTGAAAGAATTTTAAGTATTGAAAGATCATTGGTACGCGCCTTTGCCTGGGTCTTTGCCTAGGTCATAACGTGGACATCAAAGGAAACGATTTGTTTTGAAATGAAGAAGTCTGCTACCTCCCGAACACAACCTTCTCTGCTATATGTCTTGCAACTTTATAATCCTACTTTTACCCCGACATCCATTGCAATGACTTTATACATCTGAAGGCCACTAAATGTAAAGTGGTCCCAAATAAAGTTGTTTCTCCAGATGTCGTAGCCTTCGTTTGACCATTTGCTCAGCCATACTGTATTCTGAACACTTCTTCCGTGAAGTTACCCCCAAGTTTGAACATTCTCACGCATGTATTGGGAAAACTGCATGGAATTCTTTATGAAAATATTGACATCATGACTCAACGTTTACACCTCCTGCAAAAAAATATCCAGTCTAATTTTTTTCTGAAGTTAATCTTGTGTTCACTGGCTACAAACCAAAGTCATGGAGAACATATATGTCTGGGAGGTTATTTTGACCCTCTTTACATCCTTCAACCCTGTTTTAACCTGTCAGATCTCAAGTTTATTCTCCTGAAATAATTGTGATACATTCCCTTCCTGGCCAGTTCTGAGAAGTTGATGTTTTGGCATAACTGCAACTCTACTTTTTATGAAAGTACCCTCTTAAGTTCAACCAAGAAGATTTTAGGGGAAATCATGGGGAAACTATTGATCTGTAGTGCAGTCTCTTTACCCAAGCAAAATTGCTTGAGTTTTTTTTATGTATTGAAAGAAACTGAAACAGAACTCAGCTGAAAGAACACACAATCAAGATTGTAACAATAAAAGGCAAAATTGTTTCGGGATTGAGTCTTCCTTAGTGAAAGTTGTGTACAGCTTTCCTTTCCTAAAAAATTATTCTGCAAGTGTAGTTGAGTTTTAATCCCAACATGTAATTTTCCATATTACTTAATAACATACAAAACCCAACTATTGTATGGTCACATTTCAAATATAGATGGATTAAAGAAGTTGGAAAATGAAATCTATTAATCTGTGATGCCCAGAAATCTTATGTGTTCTCCTTTTCAAGCAATAACTGGTTAACATTTAGTGCCTGCAGAACCTCTTATTACTGTCTGAAATTGCTTGGAATACTTGAAAATTCAACTGGTAAAAGGTTTGTTCTACTGGTGTGATAATTATTTAACCTGCCATGATTAAACAAGGGAGAATACTAGACTGTTGTATAGTTTAGGAAAAAACTGAAGATGGATGAGTTTGTTAGCCTAAGCCTTTTCTACATTAGCCATTGTGAATTTGTTTTCTTTTGTCATGTTTTTTTTTTTTTTTTTAGAATTAAGTAAATCACCAAGTTTCTTTGATCCTTCTCAATATTTTGTATCATTTGGTCAAAGGGAGAAATTCCTTGATATGTACTGTTACTCTGCTGCATTTACTCTTGGTTATCCCAAGTTTAACTCCCTGGCTGTACTTTGTATATAGCCAACTTGTCTGCCTCCTGCCAGTCGGGGTTTTCAAACACTATATTAATTCAGAATGTTTGAATTTGTTCGTATTTGTCCTGAGAAGTTCCATCAGAAGAATGGTCAATTGAGTATACCTACCTAGTACCTACCTACATAATTTTATGTACTTACATACGTACATACATACACAAGTTGAGTTATCAAGTCAAATTACCCTTTCTTGTTTTGGAGTCACAATAAAAAGGAAAATGTGATGTCTGTTTGAATTTAAAAATCATTGGGTGAAAAAAAACTCATCAATCTTGAAACAAAATGTATTCTACTTGCACTTCACAAACATGTTATTTCACAGGGTTCATACATTAGACAAAAATTAACCGAATGTTCTATTATACAGTGTTTCCTTGAAAAGCCCCCAGGCTCTTATTTAAATTTTCAGCTAAAGTGTGGATGCTAACTGGAAAATTAAGCCTATGGAGATAGACATAACTGGAAGTGATTTAATAGAAGAGAAACCTCCTTTCCTGATTCTGGTGTAGTTGAGGCTTTAAAAGTTGCAAATAAAGTGACAATAGAAACTGGTTTTCCTTGTATCCCTACTATTTAAAAAAAACCATTAACACCCAAACATTAGTACACATATTCTCCATACTGTTCTCTATACATTTCCTAAACTGTTGACAAGGAGAATTTGTTTAACAGTCCAGAGCTTCTTCAGTTGGTGATAATGTCCTTTATTCTCCTGACCTTAATGTGTGATTTAGGGGTGATATTGTAAGGAGAAATTAGGTGTTAGTCACCCTTAGCGTCAAAGAGTTAAGAAAGTGAAGGACAGTAGGGGGGCACTTGTTTGACATTATGGCCTTGGTGGGGAGGTACACATGCAAAGAGGGGTGCTTACTGAAGTGTGGGCTCTACTTGAGGGTGGGTGCTTAAATGAGGAATATGGTATGTAACATTTCAAATCATTTGGTTAGAAATGAAAGATAGCACAAAGTACTTTTTGGGGAAAAAAAATTCCAAGAAAATTCTGTCATTTTCAGGTATCAGACCAATGAACCTCTTACTTGGGGAAAAAATTAACATGACTTTGTGTCTTCCAACAAATAAGCAACCCCACTGTGACTTAAATTTGAAGAATACCCTTATGTAGTATAAATGATATCTTAGTATTGTTCTGATGGCTGAAATGTCAATGAAAAGAAAAAACATTCTATGCAGGATGCATCATGGCCTAAATTTTGATATTGTGCAGAAGGTTCGACATTTAAAGTTTCAAAACAATGAAAATGAGTTCTTTCAGAATTGTTCTCCAGGCATAGCATGAAAGAAGATGTGGTTACAGAGCTTTATATATTGACATTCATGAAGTTCAAGAAACAAATTGTGATTGCCAGGTATACAAGAGAGCCAGTTCCAGGACTCCAACTACATGTGTAGCAATGATTTCATCAGCTGTCATCTGTTAAACTTCTTTAGGAGGTAATGTTTAATTGTTATTTTAGACTTACTTAAAATCCTGTTTTCCAGTTATAAGGGATTTATCCTTTGCTTGCACTATGAGCTCTCCAGGTTAAAAATGTAGTGCACTCTTTTAGGGGTTAAATGGTCATTTTATGTGACGCTTGCTCAATAGTTTTATAATGATCTTAGCATGGAAGCCTCTTCCAACATTACAGCATATTTCTAATAGCTTGTGTACAGGAGGTTTGACAAGCAACCTTCCTGCTGGCAACCTTTCCTGTTATTAATTTGTGAGTGTCCTTCTTTTCTTGGCACTAACTGAAACTGTATGTTGTATGTTTTAGGTTCTCTAGCAAATGGCCAGATTTAATGGATGCTATGTCTGCTGTAAATCAAAGGCCACACCAAAGGACCTTTTGGGTTTTTTTGGTCAAAATGTGTTTCTCTCTTACTGAGTTTGCCCAAAAGTTTCCAGAGTACTTCTCGAGTTGCAGCCTAATCAGGCAATTGGCAGTATATTATCTTTAACTTTAGCATCTAATATCAAGAGGTATATCATGCACTCTGGGCATATTTTGTTTAGACCAACTGCAAGGTAGATAAAGTGTTCAAATGCTTTGCTGCATTCCCTCCTTTCCTCTATGATCATGTTAACTTGTTGGATGTGGTTAATTCATGCTCTATTAAAGTAATGGGAAAGATCAGGAACAAAAATGATACTCAATTGTAACTATGTCAAAAATACAGCAATAAGGCAAGGGGGATGTTTACTGGTCCAAGCATAAAATAGATTACCTTTCAAGTAAACAGTCAAGGTCCCTTTCAAGGAGATTGATTTCTTGTGCCTTTCCCTCAAATGGAAATCATAGAGTGCTTCTTATGCATGGGCGCATTTTGGCAACATGTATTGTAGTGCCTTATGTACCTTAAAAGGAGGCCCTCTAATTTTACATGAAAAACTTAATCCAGCTCCCACTAGCCTGAGGTGAAATGAATTCATCACAAAACATAAATATATCTTAAATTCATTTAGAAGTTAGAAGTTCAGTGCCCTAAAGTTACATACATTTATCTTGGTTTCATTGACAAATTTTTGTGCGTGTTAAAGTATGTTTGGTGCGGATATGGCCTTGCAAAGTAAGGTCGTATTTGGCTTATTTAGTTAAATACCTGCAATAAACACCCAATATTTAGTTAAATACCTGCAATAAACTCCCAATTTGATAGTGAATGGAACAATGGCTTAAGGGAGATTTCCAAAGGAATTTCAATTTTGACTTGAGGCGTGCAGCCAGATCTTGTGAATTTGATAAAAGAAAAAAAGTGATGAGGTGTAACTACATGTGCAATGAATGCTTTATGCCACCTAGATTCCTCACACATGTATACTATTAAGTTCAGTATAAAAATTGAAATCTAAAAGCCTTTTGAAATTTATTTATTAATTTTTTGCAGGGAAGTGAAGCTAACTTCAGTACTTTGGAGATGTTAGAGAAGTTGAAGGAGACAGGGACAGGGAGCCTCTATGGCAGAAAAAAGAATTCTTTGCTGAGCAACTTACAGGAGGAAATCTCAAGAGATGTTCTGTCTAAGCATGCCCAAGACAAGTTTGGGACATTTGGGAGAGTAAATGCCAGTGGCTTTTCAAGAGATCGAAGTAGAGGACCAATTATTGATGAATTTTCAGAAGATTCCTACAGTTTATGTAGTAATTCAGACTCTAAACGAACGGATTCCAGCAACAGTAAAGACCGGCAACACAGAAGAACAGACAAAAATGATTCACGAAGGAGAAGCTACAGCCCCGTTGATGAGAAGTTGTCTTCAAATAGGAGAAGTCGAGAAGACACACCTACAAAACACAGTCGTAGTACAGACTTTAATCCAAGCAGTCAACGCATGGATGATGATGTTGACTTAAGAAGTGTGTTGAAACAGTTCCAAAAGAGTAAATGGGAGGACAAAACTGAGGATGTTTTTCATTCAGGTTTCTCAGGAGAGTACAAAGATGATGACCAAGAAAAAAGAGGTCCCTATAATGATGGTATCAAAAGAAGTGACAATAGAGAAGCCAGGGACTATTTAAGAACCAGGTAACAGTGTACTAGAAGGGCTAGACAAGGAAGATATAATAATGGGCAAAGGTTTGGAACAGATCCGATTAGCTATTTAACAAGATTGTGGTTTAAAAACCACTCACTTGCCAAATCCAATGACTAAAATTTGGAATTTTTTAATGAAAATCTTGAGTTTTAGCACTGCAAGATGAAAAGTATCTTCCTGTTTTATATTCCCCCTTTCTCAAGTGGCTGGTGTAGCTTACTGTACCTTACCTTACTTTTTGTTTATCTTAAAAGCTGTTAAAATTTCCCTCCCTAAACTGTCTCTCATACCTTGTTTTTCCTTTACCTCATTGTGAATTTGATTTTGTTTTTTGTTTTTGGGCCTTAGTGATGACAGAGACCACATGAAATCAAGATATGGCAGGGCCAAACATGGAAGTCTGAATGATGGAAATGCAGAGGCATGGTTGGATGCCTTCAAAGAGTCATCTGCACTTGAGTTATCAAGTCTGAGCACTGATGCTTTGAGAGACTTCCCAGTATCAGAGCTTGCTCAAAAGGTAACTCAAAAGTATAAAACTGGCTTTGAGCTGGGAAGACCATTCTTTGGATTACAATCAGAGGGCCAAGACAAGGAGAGAGGTACATGTGATGATGATCCCATTGAACATCGTAAAACTATTTTCATATTAAGTGCTTGGTGACATTATATGTTGAATAGATGATGGAAGTCAGCAATAAATGTACAACTGGTGAATTTCCATTGATGCATGACCGTGTCCATAATTTACTGCCTTGTGTTGTTTACATGCTACTTTGCAACAAGTAGTGCCTCTTTGTTGCATCAAAACAGTCTGTTTACTTTGGTTCATTGAAAATGGCTTAAAATCAAATACAGCATCCTTAATCAGTCCATTTCATGTTATTAGGTTGGGAAAATCAAAACTTTGAGGATGTTTCAAAGGGAGCTGAAAGGTGGGAAAAATCCTTGGATGCTGTACCTGACCATGGATCAGCATTGTATGGTAGGACTATGGACAGCGGAGAAATCAAGCAGATCAACAGAGACTACTTAGGAAAGTATTCCAACAGCAGCAACCTCTCAAAATCTAAAGCTGGTGAAGAGGACACTTTTGATTTCAAAGACCACAAGACTAACAGTAGTAGACAAAAAGGCAATTCAAAATCGGTTGCGCAGCCTTTTAAAAGTAGTGCTTCAACACCACACACAGTTTTCAGTCAAAGTAATTTGAAAGGTTCCACCTCATCCATGCAGAATCCAAGGCAAAAACCCATGTTTCCATCTGGATTTTTGCCAAGGCAGTTACAAAAACCAGTGGGTAAAAATCTTAAGAATGTGGAGGTTGGCAAAGGCAAAGGACTGAATGAGCCATCTTTATTTCCACGTAAAAGTGGTTACTATCCAAGGAACACAAAGGAAATATCAAGGTCACGCAGCAGAAGTTCTGAGAGAGGTGATTTTACCAAAGACCTTGGGAGTGGCATAAAAAGCTCTAAAAAAGAGGTCAGACCTCCCTCTAAGGGTAAATTTACAAACCAGAATTGGTTAAGTTCAGATAGTAGTATAAACCAGTCCACAAGAACAGAGGCTTCAAAACGCACTCTGCAGCAGAGTGTAGAACAGAGTGGCATGCCCACAAACAGGAACCGTGGTAGAGGAGGGTTTAAACGCCGTGGTAGAGGAAATTTGCAAACCAAGAGGGGAGGAAGAGGTACTGCAATCAGTCCACGAGGCAGAGGAAGGGGTGCTAAGGGTAGGGGAAGTACTAATGGTATTAGAGGAAGAGGCACTATGAGTTTAAGAGGAAGAGGATTTGCTATGCGTGGAAGAGGCAGGGGAATCAGTCAGCCTCCAGTAGGTGCTACAGTCAGAAACATATTCAGAAGAAGTAACTCTCTCTCCCCTGTGAGAAGCAAACCTCGAAAATCTTCCAGGTCTCCAAACAGTCCAAAACGAGACAAAAAAAGGAGAAGTGAAAGAAGTAAAAACAGTAGAAGTAGAAGCCGAAGCAGCAGTTTTTGCAGCACCTGTAGCAGTCACAGTTGTAGTACATGTTCCAGTTGGCGCAGTGTTAGTATTGACAGTCTGTCAAGGAAAGGTGACAGAGAAAGGAAAAGACACCATAAACATAAGATGACCAGTTATGAGAAGAAAGGAAAGAGTACAGTTAAATCAGTAGAGAAATTAAAAAATGACATTAAAACCTTGGAAAAGCAGCTCGATCAAAAATCGCCCAGGTCTGCAGGTGAGAAGAAAACAAAAGGTCCTGAATGTAAATTTGATACAAAGACTGTAAAGGGGAAGCCAAAAATTAACATCAGAGAAGAGGACAAATGGCTAGGGCAAAAAACAATTAAATCTATTTTCAACAAGGGAAAAGAAGACTCTAAAGGTACATTTCACTTAAAACTTATGAGGGAGGGGTCACATTTAGACATTAAAGAAGAGAAGAAGGATGTGAAAACTAAAGAAAAACATAGTGCTGGGAAGAATGTGCCAGTCGTTAAAGAAGAAAAGGGGAATAAAGAACAACAAGGAAAAGATTTGAAAGATGTCAAGAGGGAAGGAAAGAAAAAGACGGACAATGCACGAGAGGTAATTTTCAAAAGTGACAAGTGGAAAGAGTCATCAAAGAAGGATAGAGAGTCTCCAGTTCGCGAGGTAAAGATTGTGAATGAAGGGAAGAACAGAGAAGATGAAGTTCCTGATGAGAAATTAGGCTCAAAGATGGAGCTTAATACTCTTAAGATAACAATTGATCACACTAAAAAGAGGCCTGACACCAACAAAGACAAAAGGTTTGACAAAGGGAAGGAAAAACTTTTGGATAGAGGGAACAGGTCTTCCAAGTCCCCGCCTGGAAAACAGAAGAAAAAAGAGAAAGAGAAAGTAAAGGCAAAGAAGGCAAAGAAGAAAGCCAAGAAAAGGAAGTATGACAGAGGTAGTGAAGAGTCAGGTGATGAATCCGTCTATAGTAGTACATCTGGCCAAGACGAGTCTTCTTACAGATTGCAGAAAGGTCACTCTGATGAACGGATTGTAGAGTTTTCATCATTAGAAGGTTTTGATACCAATGCAATTGCAGTGCATTATGCTAAAAGAGAAAAAGCAAAGCATGGCAAAGGAAAAATCAGGAGCAATCTAATATCTGTTCCTGTGTCAGAAGGAGCAGATATTGCACAAGAGAAGAAGACCCCTCCAATAGAAAGCTCACAATGGCTAACTGAGCAACAGCATGGCTATGCATTAACTAATGAAGGACAACACAGCAGCAGCAGTGATATCCCTTATACTGAAATGTTGCTTCCTAGTGAAGGTGAATTTTATGAAGGATATACTGAAAGTGCTGTTGGGGATCAAGATTATACTGTTATGTATCAGGAAGGTGAGAATCCCAGCCAGGTATGGCCATCAGAGCATGCATTGGGTGATGACCCTAACAACTACTATTATGAAGAAGGAGTAGAGGGGGAAGGTTATGAGCAAGAGTACTATTCCTATGGTCAAGAGGGTGACTATACAATTGGTGATCAAGGAGAGAATCAGGAGTGGTGTGAGGGTGAATATTCACAAGAAGGTGCAGAAGGGGAAGGTTTTGGTGAATATGAAGGGGAATATTACCTAGGGGAGGATGGACTTTATTACCCTGTCGAAGGTGAGGTGTATCAGGAATATCAGGGAGAGTATACAGAGGGTGGAACAGATGGGCAGGGTTTTGATCCAGAGCAGGGTGGTACCTACATTGAAGGTGACTACCAGTATGCAGAAGAAAGTGGAGTGTGGCAGCATTATGAGGAAGGGGCAGTTTACGAAACTGAGGAAGCCTGGAATCAGGGTGAAGCAGAAGGACTTTGGCAAGAGGAGTACCAGGAAGGTTACCATGGAACTGAGTCTGACTGGAACAATGAGTACCCTCAAGAATATGATGCTGGTGCACAAGGGTATGCTGTTGAGGGGGCTGAGGTTTTGCCTGAAGAGGGCTATAGCACAGGTGAGGGATATGATCATCAGTGGGCAACAGAGAAACATTATGTGGAGGAAGTTCCTGTCCAAGAGGAAGGCTACCATGTTGAACATGGTTCAGAACCTCAGCAACAAGGGCAGCCAGTTACATCTGCATCTCATGAAGAGCCTCCAACATTAAAAGAAGACATGGCTACTGCACCAGCTGTGAATAATGTTCAACAAAGCAAACCACTTAAGTCTATCCTCAAAAAGAGCAAACAACTTACAAACAATGGTAAAGGGACGAAACTAGTCAGTGAACGCCTTTCTCAGATGAATAGACAGTCAGCACACACAACAGGTGTACTTCAACAAAGTAGTGCATCTTCCTCATCTATCCAATCTGTTCAATCAGTTAAAGTACAAGAGAAGAGTCCAGACCAACCAGCTGCAGCAAGCTCCCAGTCTGAAGCAGAACGTTACCGTGAAATGGAAGAAGCTATTTTGTCTTCACAACCTAAAGATGCAGTTGGCACAGAATATGTTGTGCGAGTCCATGGAAGTGGGACAGCAAATTTCTTTTGTAAACTTTGCCAGTGTCACTTCAATACACTTACCGCTAAAAACTTGCATATAAAAGGAATGAAACATATAGAGCTCTATATCCGGTTAAAGTCTTCGTTGCTACAATCTGTCATAAAAGATACCAAGGTGGAAACTACAAAAAGACCTGCAGATGATGATCCATCAGCAGCACAAAAAATTCCACGACGATTTTAACTGGGTTTGTAAGCACTTTTTAATTTGTCCTTTCCGTTATTCTTGCCATTAAGAATTAATTTGTTTCCAAATCAGTTTCGTTCGCAAGGTGTCTTATTGTCTAACATTTATAGCTTCAGACAAATTACCCAGTTTACTTACACAAAACTGACCAATCTGACAGAAAAATAGCAGTGATTTTCTTATAACTTATGGATCATCTTTGCTTGCTTTGTTCTGAAGCGCCAATTTTTTCGATTGAATAAAGTTTGACTCCTTTTTGGTCTCCCATAGTGTGAATGTTAATTTTGCTTAAATGGCACTAAAACCAGGCACTGATTGAATGTATTTTTATCAAAACCAGTCACCATAAATTTGTTTTTTGTTTATCTTTTATAAACCTTTAGTACTACTGATGGCTACAAGGCTGAAGAGGCTACACAAGGCCAGAGATGTAAAGTAATTTTGCACATGAACTGGAAAATATCTGCTGTCCATGTTTCTCCCCCCCCCCCCCAAAAAAAAAAAAAAAAACGAAACAAAAGTCTGCAAGTCCTGAAAAATGTAAAATTATTCTTCAGAAAATTATTAAGAGATGTGTAGACTGTAGTGCTAAGTGGTGTTTCTATTATAACCTTTGTAAGGAAACTGATATTGGATGCATGTCAGAAGAATTGTGTTTATCTGGCCCTTTTTATTTATATTTTTACTTAATATATTAGCAAAGACTAAAATACTTTGAAACATTTCAGAAAAGGAGGCTATCATCATTATTTTCTACTACAGATCTTTAAACAGTATCTCCTTTCATTCTTTTGGAATGGAAAACTTAATATATGTCAATCTACTTATTAAGTGCCTCCTATATGGAAGGAAAAGTAAAATTTGAGGATAAAAGCTACAGCCAGGATTATTTATTCATAAGGCTTACCATCAAGGTTTAATTTGTAAATACTTGGAGATGCTATCCTAAGCTTTCATCATACTGTTTGTTTGCTTGCCCTCAGTGAAAAAGAGATGGACCTACAGCAAATTTGTTGGTCCATCATAGAAATGAATTTGATTTTCTTTATAAGAACATTTATTTAGACTAGTACCCCTCAATCTGTAGAAAGTTTCTAGTACTTGATTTTGTATTTAGATAATAGTTTTATTTGTCTTCCAGTATTTGGTGAATAAAAAGGTGATGCAAAAGGTTTAATTTTTTGGACAAAATAGCAGATGTCTTGGAGTGTGAAAAAACTTATTATAGGTAAATTAGACATAAATTGGCCTTTTGCTATTTTTGTTAAAAAGGATTGTTATCCTCATTTTCTAATTTTTTGTTTAATATTCTGTACAAAATGTCTTCAATATACAAGATCACAGCAGATATTTTGCAAAAAGTGTACCCTGAATTTCTGCATTCTTGGTTTACTCTCGCTTTGTACCAAACACAATTCAAAGGTTTGGCATAGAATTGTACTTATCATACAGAAATTCTGGATCTGTTTCTATCCTATATTTGGCAACCCATATTTAGTACTTGTGCACCCATCCTTAACCAAAGGTAGTTTTTGTCCCACATTTGTTCTTAGAAGTATCTGGAACCTACCATTAGACATTTCTATACTACAAACAGGAAAAGTTCAGTTCACCTCTCCTTGAGGAGAGTAATGTTTAAGTCTTCTTTGTTGTCAAGTCATTACCATGATTACAGTAAAAACTTACTAGTATACTTCGCTGAATAGAGATAAAAACCAGATTTTGTATCTGTCTACATACAGAAACTGTGAAATAAATTAATACAGTTTGGAATTGTTCATCTTTTGGTGTTTGTGTGGTTGTAACCCTCTACTTTTTGACTTTTTCTTAGCTAACAAGGAAGTTGAAAATTTTGTTGAAGGGTGGGGTAGCTTTTTGTACCATGATAAGCAAAGATATTTCTTTTAATTAGTAAACATTATCGTGTGAAAGTAAGACTTGTTTACCCTTCTCAAAGGTTAAGTAATGTTGGTGGAAAATATTTCCTAGTTGAGCATTTTTTTTTTGGGGGGGGGGGAGGTTGAGGGGGGGAGTAAAAATGGTGAAAATACATCACTGCACTAGAAAGATTGTTTCAGCTGATGAGGTCAATCATAAGTCTAGGTTAAACCAGAGCCCTGAGTTGAATGAACAAAAAATCTGTAGCCTGATACCTTGTTGGAGAAGTTAGTTTTAATCCTGTTAAATGTGTGGGAATACCTTACATGGACAAAGAGGGTTATTCATAAATGAATGTAACAAAAAGGAAAATCGAGTTAAGCAGCTCATGCCAGTAACTGTGGAACTTCCCTTTCCATCAAATGGGAGGTAACCAGAAGAAAGAAAAGTAGTGAAATTGCCTGTGAGAAAAACCAATCCCGTAACTAACAGTAACTAACCATAAGCATCTATGTTTTTCAGAAGTTTATCCACTGGAATATCCATTGTTCATGTCTCAGTGCTTGTCAGTGATAAACGTTTTCCGGTGGTTCTCCCTTACACTTGAATTTGTCTCAGACTCACACTGACTTGGGATTAACACGCACTTGAGTTTGACTTGGACTCAGAACTGACTTGGGGTTTCATTCATCTCAAGGTGTGGGATTAACTCAGTGAGTGTATTTACCTCCTACCAAATTATAATCCTTTAATATATGTGTTGTATTTTAAGTTGATGTTTTATGATCGGCCTTTTCTTTCTCCAGTTTGTGGATGACACTGAAGCCTTGAACCAAGTCTTGTCTGGATAACTTACCAGACTTTGGAAAGAAACTTGTTACTTTTGTTGGAAGATTTTGGCATAATTATTGTGAACATATATGTAGGGATTACATTTAACAAAAGGAATGCTGAGAAAATGAACTCAGGATTTCATATAAGTAGGTTAGTTTTTGTTGTTTATCCATGCAGTAACCAACCTCAGTCCAATTGTGATCTCCTTTTACACTCGCTATGCAAGCTGAGAGCCGATATGTGATGACATGTTAGGTTGTTTGCCTTTTTTTGCTCTTATGGGTCAGATTGCCATGCAGATCGTGATGTCCATATTATTACTTTGCCGACAGGTAGCCAATTTTATAACAAGATACCAATGTTATTGACAGTAAAGGAATATTATTTACTAAAAAGGAAACTAAGAGAATACAACAATCTTCAACTAGAGCCTTCTCTTTCTGTCCTTATGGTGAATCAGGGCTTACTTAAATACTTTGAACTAAAAAAAATTAGTTTTGGACTCTAGATAATACAGCCTAGTTCAGCAGCAAAACCTTTGCGATGGCAAACCCCTCCAATTGAAATGGTGCTAGAAAATAGCTCTAATTCAGTGTGAATGAAACTGTGGCTCAGTGCGAGGCTTCAGGGGTTAAACAGAGAGTTTACCAGATTTCTTCCCTAAACCGGCTTGCTGTGACCTTGTTTCTCACTGAGTCTTACAGAATGGGATAAGACTATTTTTCTCAAGAATGTGACATCCTGTGATCCAAAAAACATACTTCTATCACAATTATGAAGGGAGAAACATATCCAGACTTGACTTTTTTTATTTATTTAACAAGAATAATACATGGATGTTTGTTTAATTTTATTTTAAAAAAGCTCAAATTCTATTTTCTAGACAATTGAAAGTAGAATGTTGATGAGAATTTAGGCAATATTTAGTTTTAGATAGCCACTCTACCTTGCTTTCTTCCATTGATTTAAAAGATGAACAGGGGGATGTCATGTACATCCTTGAAACAGAACCTCTGATTTTATATGATGTTTGCCCTAAATGAATCACACTAAAAATAGAGTAGCAAAGCACAGGTTTCACCCTTTCACCCCTTGGAGTGACCAATCAATAGGTTCTCCTTACAACGTCTGCACATTGTCCTGAACAAAGGTGTTGGGAAGAGAGAAAAACATCAACTTCTAGATAATGTGAGACTTGATACCAAATTCTCAGAACCAAAATTGTAAGAAACGTATGAAAGACAGTGAGGAGAAGAGAGATTGAGATCTTAAGGTTACTGTGCACCTTCAGGGGTGTCTCACATGCAAGCGATGTAGTGCATCTGGTTTAAACTGTAGATATCTAAACCCCTATATCAAATTAAAGCTTATAGGACTGGCTATTAGACTATACCAAACATTTTGAAAAAAATGAATTGTCGAATTTTTCACGACTTCTAAATGTGAGCGCCCGAATCACCTTTTAAGAGCTACAAGTCAAAGGGAATTTGTCCAATTGCTCTCAAATTTTGACAGAAGCTAGTTTTACATATAAACAACAAAAACCTGTCTCTGAATTTTTTATTTCTAAATACTTTTTTTCAAGAGCGACTTTTGTACGATCACTCCACATTTTTTTCATCCTATTTCAAAAATGTTCTGTAACTTTTCACTGAAATTGAATAAGGCAAATTGCAGACACATTTTTTTTCTACTGCTTTGGCCCCGGAAACAGAGGAACACATTAAATAAGCTAAAAACAAAATTTGCTTTAACATGTAACTTTCAAAAGGTGATTTGGGCACTTGCATTTAGAAGTCGTGAAAAATTCAACAATTAATTTTTTTTGAAAATTTTTGGTATAGTCTGATAGCCAGTCCTATAAGCTTTAATTTGATATAGGGGTATGGATATCTACAGTTTGAACCAGACGCCCTACATCGCTTGCATGCAAGACACCTGTGAAGGTGCACGGTAACCTTAAGAGTAAAAGGGTTCACACTTGTGCTAAGGTTTGTACAGACTGAGGAAAATTCATGTGGCAGATACTCTGAAACTATGGATTTCTATCAGATAAACATCTGTATGGTGACCTTGCATAGCATGAAAAATTAAGTATGTTGAATATGAAAATATTTATATTGTGTCAATAACAATACCCACAGCCTATTGCTTCCTACAGCCCTTATTTATATGTTGACTGGCTGTTACCAAGCACAAAACATCCTGTCAAGTTTGGTTTTCATGGGTCTGAAACCTTTTAGATCATCGAGGATTTCACTGGTTCCCAAACATCATTGTGAGAATGTAAGCTGAAATGCTCACAATTTTCTGAAATTATAAGCAATCTTTTCATGCTGACCAAGGAACTTTTCTACCATAAAAACCAAACTTGAAACTTAATCTAATTTTGATCACAACAATAAAAATTGTTAATTATGTTGTCTTGCCTATTCTTCATTATCTATTAATTAATTTCATGTTCTAAGATAAGTCTCATATGTCTGCTGTCTCCTTGATCCAACTTCTCTCTGGGTTGCCTCCAAAGTAGTCTTACACATTGGCTCTGTGTTCCCAAAGAGCAACAACTGTTTTTCCAAGCCCTCTCTAAGAAATTTGATTGGAGATCAGCATCTTGTGTGCAAGAATTGCAACTAAGTTGGCTTCCTTGGCTGTTATTTTTGAGAGCAACAAGTCTTGTTTGATACTTCATCAGCTTGCTTAGGTCGCACAAGAGTGCTTCTTCCTGATGGAGGATCAGCTTGTTCTTGAGGTAGTTTTCGAGCTAAACAAAAGACAATTATATTCAAGAGTAGGGTTTTCATCCGTCTTCAATAAATGTAATGGAAAGAGACTAAGACAAGGTAGGAGTGTGTAGACTACCCTCCACATCTGAATAAAAACTAGCACAAGACACCAAAATTTAGTTGGAGATTCCCTAATAAATATTTACAGCAACCTGTTTCTATTCGGAGGAGTCAATAGCAAACCAAAGTGAAATGATAAGGCCTGAACTACACAAACTAATAAACACAGCTGCTTTTTTCAATCTTATAACTGAAAACTGGCTAAGCAAGGAGGAAAAAAAGGTGATTCAATGAGAAAAGCAAAACCTGAAAATCTCAATGCATCCCTCTTTGAGATTAATACCCAGAAATGTCCCAATAACAGCTCCAGAACCAGGAATTGAAAGAGGAGCAAGAAAAATCCACCAACTTACAAAGCTCTTCAAAGAGCCAATGTACATTCTTGTTTGTTCTAGCACTTGTTTCCACAAATATTGCCTCTTCACTATTAGCAAATTCTTCTGCTTCTTCCTCATTGACCTGAATGGAGGGGTAAGGTTAAGTGTTAACATGTCATCATCTTCGCAAACAGAGTTTGATATGCCATTAACTGGATAAGGAAACTCAATACCAGACAGCAAATTGAGGCCCACTGGTAAATTTCCCAAGTTTGACTTATTTTAAGCAAGCTGCATCCATGAGAACTAATTGTATGGCTGACAGGGAGAAGAATTACTAATTAAAATTAAAATAAATGAGATGTTGGGATTGAAAGGGCAAGCAGTTCCAAAGGCAGAGGCTGCAGTTACATTTATTTATTACTTCTTTTTTTCTGACATAAAATTTTTTAACTAAAGGCCCCAAACCAGAATTACTTGGCCATATCAGAGTAATTCTATCCTTTCCCCAGATTCAAATTACTGACATTCCAGCTATAGTGAAGCAAATAGACTAGACAGCCCAGGAATTGTGCATAAGGCAGAGGAGCTGATAATGGTCATCATCGTGATAAAAAAAGGCATTGCTGATCAGAGTACCTCTTGACTTTACATTAATTAATATCTGACCTCTCTTTGATCAGCCTTATCACACTTATTTCCTGCAATGGCTATAAGAATATCAGGGGGTCCATATCTTTTCAACTCCTTGATCCAGCTTTTTAATGCATGAAATGAACTCTGAAATACAACAAAAATTTTTTCACACTCTCTGTTTAACAAAGTCTACAATAGAATTGGGCTACAAAGGAGGGGGAACACTGTTACAATAAGATAGAAAATGGGAGATATAATGTAAAAAATGTAAAATATTTAGGACTTACTGGTAAACAAAGTATGCAAGATAGGTATTATAATTCTTACAGTTGTCTGCTTTATCTCATGCCCTCCACAATTTCCAAGAGGAAGATCATGTGAATATTGAAAGGCATCTCAGATCTAGCCTGTGAGCATAAGAGTTTCTTTGCCCTTAAGTAAGTTTACGGCTTTGAGCAAAGAGAGCCTTGAAGAAAGGCTGATAGCTTCTAAAGAAACTGTTTGGGGCTGCGTCGGCAGGGGTAATGAAATAATTTGGATATATCAACAAAGTTGAAATGATAAATTGGCTACCATAACGATTACAAAAGCTGACGTTTTGAGCGTTAGCCCCTCGTCAGAGCGAATAGAGGAATTGTGGGTTGTGTGTGCTTTTAAAGGCAGAAAATGGAGCTACGTTATTGGTGGGAACATGGACACGAGAAAAACACGAATAAATTAGTGGAATGAATACATGAAGTCTTAGAAATGTCGTCATTTATGTAGTGATGACTCTGATTTCCACTACAAATCAGAGTCAATGTGCCAGTTTTTCAATAAACGTGGTTACTCTGTTTCTGTCGTTCAAGCGGGTTACCACCACGCCCAACTCATTGATCGACATTCAGCACTACAAACGTCACATAAGGAAGATTCCAACCACATTCCATTCACTCTCACGTTTCACCCTCACAACCACTCAGTTAAATCCATCATTCTTAAAAACTTTAAATTACTTCAAAACGATCCAGAGACAAGCACTATCTTTTCACAGCCTCCGCTCAATTCATTCAAATGCAACAAAAACATACTAGGCAATTTTTTGGTCAGAAGTTCTTTTCAGACTAATGACCAACCAGGCACTTTTAAATGCGCTCGCGCACAATGCAAATCGTGTCCTTTCATTTACAACACTGATAAAATATCGGGACCCAAATGATCCATTAAGATCACTGATCGCTTCACGTACACCTCCACCAATGTAATCTATTGCATAAATTGCACCTATTGCAAAAAGATATACATCAGCGAAACAGGCAGAAGACTAGGTGACCAATTCCGAGAACACCTTCGAGACGTGGAAAGGAATGACAAGGACACATCGAAACCAGTTGCCAGACATTTTAATTTTAATTACCTAGTCATTCTAAGCAACATATGGCAATCTGCGGTCTTTCCTTACACTTAGGTAGCACGGAAAGCCGTAAAACTCTTGAACAAAAGCTCATCTTTCAAACCGGCAGTCTAAATCCCACAGGGATCAACGAACGCTTTTCATTCCACTAATTTATTTGTGTTTTTCTCCTTGCCATGTTCCTACCAATAACGTAGCTCCATTTTCTGCCTTTAAAAGCACACACAACCCACAATTCCTCTATTCGCTCCGACGAAGGGCTAACACTCGAAACGTCAGCTTTTGTAATCGTTACGGTGGCCAATTTACCATTTCAACTTTGTTGATATATCCAAATTATGAGCCTTGAAGAGGTTGGTTAGGTGTCTGGTAATTAAGTATCAGAACCTTCGCAATACTCTTGCCTACTGGCTTTGCTCAAGCCCTTAAACCTCCTAGCAAGCACAGAAACACTCGTGCCAAGGTGCTTGCTTGCAGGTCATCTAATATTTTTATCGCTCCGACGAAGGGCTAACGCTCGAAACGTCAGCTTTTGTAATCATTACGGTGGCCAATTTACCATTTCAACTTTGTTGATATATCCAAATAATATTTTTATCTCACACATTTCTATGTTGCATCTTTCATTTTCCTTCTTCCATCTCTCATTTCAGTTTCAAGTGTCAATTTTAAATTACTACTGGTAAATAACATTGGATCATTTACATTCTGCTACAATCTTGCATACTTTAGACATCAGTTCTAATCCTTACAAAGTACTAGGGAATGACAAATTTTTACCAGTTAAGTACATTCTGACAAACAAAATAATATCCTTACATCCCTGGTTATATCATAAACCAAAATGGCAGCAGCAGCATCTCTGTAATACAGTGGAGCCAAACTTTTGAACTAAATGATATGACAAACATATCAGAGTGAAAATAATCATAATAACAGAAACAATATGAGTGAGTAAATGCTTCTTTTAACTCTGGTTGCAGTTTAAAGATTCTGAGAAACAAAATTATAATAATAACTGATGGGTAAATTTTTTAGTTCTAGATGGATGGCCCCTCAAAGGTTTTTGATCTCTGAGTTTGCTGACTAAAAATATAACCAACAGTGACTTTGAAAGAAAGTATTTGTCATAATCACTTGATATGCCAAAGTTCACAGTAAAACACAGTTGTTTACAGACATGTCTGGGCAAGAAGAGTCAGGGCTTTCTGTTACTCTTGATGCAAATTTTACCACCTTTATCATTATTTTGTCAGCATAATAATGGCGATATTACATCAATAACTGTGAAAAAATGAGTTTCAATAGAAGGAAAATCAAGCTTACAACAATGATAAAATTACACATACAAAACACTCACACAAAAATCAAAATGTATTAAAACAAAATAGGTATAAACAGAGCTGTATGATTTGTAAATAGTGATTAACAGTTTCTTATATGTGAATTTTTAATATTCATTGATAATTTAAACTCTAGCTAACGATCTATTTTTTCTCCCCTACCCTTTCCTGGCCTGCAGTGTCCCAAATATTGAACTTGAATGCTTGTTCCCCCACAAGCATCATTTTGGTCATAAAGGCTGCCCTATCAAACATAGAGAATGCATAGATTTAAGAAAATGAGGAGGGAAGGATAGAAAATGAACACTGACAAATAACTCATTGTGCAAAATTATCTTTCATTTAAAAGTATTGTCTGCAAAGTAGAAACCTTACAAGAGTTACATGCTGACAATTTTATAACCAGGTTTCTCAGTAACTACCATTATAGTAGAGTTGTGAATGCATTTAGCAGGTGGGTTAACATTTGAGCTCCTAAAACAGGAACCTGTTCAATATGAAGTTTGGCATGGGGAAGCCACCATGAATTCTTATATTTCACTCTCATTCCCTAATGGTGATAAATTATTTAGTGAAACTTTAGTCTGTTTTGGAAAGTATTACCAACAGTACATCCAGCAAGATTTTGTTGAAGAAAATTTTTGTGGTATGGGAAACCAGCTTTCTCACAGTATCACCAGTCAATCAAACATTAAGGTCACAAAAAATACAGAAAAAAAAAAACACCAACAAAAACAAACTCTTGATTGTTAAAAAACAAATTCTCCTTTTCAGCAATATTTATTTATTTATATACTATAATTCACAAAGGTTTCCCATCACTGCGAATTTGCATGTGAAAAACTAAAAACTACAAGGAAAAAGCAGTGCTCTAACATAAACTACAAGGAGAAATAAGTAAATGCATGAATAATAATAATAATAATGACAATGATAATAAATATACAAAATCAGTGAAGGGAACTAAGATAATTCATTATAGTATACATTTAAAATCATCCACAGATGGCTCGTCTAATAAAAAAGAAGGTAAGTGTGTTCCATTCTTTTACAGTTCTGGTAAAGAAGTTATACTTAATATAGGTATTACTGTTACTGCCAATGTTAATGAATTTACTGCTATGGTAGGAGTGTGTAACCACCTTAAGAAATGTAAAGAAAACAGTATGGAGAATATGAATACTGATAGGAGCATATAAAGGCTTATACTGTTTGCATAACTTTGTAGAAAAGCTGGTATTAGCTCTACTGATTGAGTTATGCTGCTGTGGTACTCATCATATCTCTAGCACCAGCACCTTTGTAAATGATGCCCACTTGTTCCCTTTTTAAATATTTTAATTAAGTTCATATTGTAACTTTTGATATGTATTTTATCAAATGATTCAAGACACATTTACTCATTCATCTTTCTATTTATGATGGCCAGCTGAGCATTTTAGACAAAAAAATTATTACATATCAAATTTACTGGCCATTGACTGAAGACCGGTTAAAGCAAATATTAAGGTGACATTTAAAAGACACCACACGTTATTAACAATTCAATATAAATTCGAGGTTAATACAGAATTCACGATAAGAGAAATTAAATCACAGGAGTATCTTTATCTATTCACAATGGGATTTCACGCCTATAAATCAAGAACTTACATAAAAATCTAAACTATTAAATTTGTTGAATAAAAACCCCCTCAAGGAACAACTAATATTTGATACATATGTAGGTGTTACTTAGACATGGATGCCTATACAAACATAAAAAAATCTTAAGTTTGTTTGTTTGTTTAATACTCTGAGGATAATTTACACGAAAATAATGCGTAACCTATATTTAACAGTTATTCGAAATTATTCACCGAACCTGAGGCGAATAATTGTTTTAGTATAATTTCAGAGCTGAACAACAGAGAAATTTCTAAAATCGTAACATTTTAGTAACATCAATTTTTTTATTAACATTTTATTTTAACATTTTATATAAACTGCGTGGAGCGGTTTATATAGCGTCATATAAGGTACCGCTCGACCAATCAGATTGCTGGCAACTCTTTACTCAGCTCTGAAATTATACTAACACCTGGTACGAAATGATTACAAAATGTTATAAACAATGAAAGTGCTCCAAACACTTCACTAACCCAATGGTGGGCGGAGAGGCAGCGTTGAAGGTGTCGGACACGAAACGATGAACTAAACACGACTTTCCCACACCAGCATCCTAAAGAAAAGCATTCTCAATTCACCAACCAGCTGACAAAATCAATCCTTACGTAACTAGTATAATAATAACACAATTACATTGATTCGAAAGGTCGAATGTTCTTTCAATATTTCACTTGACTTACTCCCAGAAGGCAGAGTTTTGTTTCTCTGATGGACCCTCCAGGACCACTGTACGACCGATGCATGATCAGAGACAGTCGATATCTTTACGTCTTCCTTGTCAACAACTACTCATTTTCCTTTCAAATTACTAACATTTCGATGGTCAGTTATTATTCTAGTACTTGCAATATGTGATGGGAAGAAGGAAGAACTTTTTGGGGGATCTGGGAAGGACTATAAGTTGCCTTGCATTGTGGGACTGTGAGGCTTTTCAACATGGCGGCAAAACGGGATAAGGTAAATCTCCGAAAATGTCCCAGATCTCTTTTTCCATTTTGTACCTTTTTACTACTCAGTTAAATTAAAATATGTTTATATATCACAGCATACGACGCTTAACTGGAAACCTGTTCAAAGGAAGCCATTGTAAGTAGGGAACAACATTTCGTTTCGTTACTATGTTAGTAGTTTCCGTCACGTCAAAGTTATCGTAAACAAAATTAAATTTTCATACTAAGATTTGCAATATCAAGATTGTGTCCGCTATTTTTAAATCAACGTCTTTTATGCTTTTTTTTCATTTAAAAGTGACAATAGCCGTGTTAATCGATTCAAGTGCTCAAAATCTATTGTAAACAAATTAAATTTCCCAACAAAAAGTTTGCAATATTACGATTGTCTGCTTTTTTTTCGAATTAAAGTAATACACGATTTTTTCACTTAAAAGTGACAATAGCCGAGTTATTCGATTCAAGTGCTCACTTCAGAACACCATCATAGATGTACTTCGCTCAAAGGGTTGGACTGAAGTGCGAGAGTAAGTTATGATTTGTATGTATATTTATGTTTAATGTACATTGCATATACTGGTACCTAAGCTTTAAAGGTAAATAAGTTTTTTTTAGATATTTACCTCTTATTTATATTAATGTCCTTGGTCTTCATGGTAACAAGTAGCTCTTTGCAGAAGTAACTGAATGTATATTGCTTTGAAATTTTTTGTAATACCCCAGCCATATAAAAGGAGTGCAGCTAAAACTCTGCAGAGATGTTTCAATTTTAGAAAGTCCCAGGAATCCTGTAGTCATCATTACTCTTTGTAGTTTATGTTAGATAGTCCACTTCATGCACCTACATGCATAATGCCTTTGCTAAAGAACACCATTACTTTCTGTCAGTTGCCAGTTGTTCATAGCTGCCTCCATGTTTACCCTCTGTCCCTTATTTCCCTTTGTACAGTTCTCTTTCAAGTTTCTTTATGAGGGAGACTGGGCTGGGCTGGGCTGGGCTGGGCTGATTGGGGCATTTGGATCACATGGTCAATCCATCTGCATCTTCTACTCAGGACTTGCTGGGTAATGGGTTCTGTATCCATTCTTTTGTGCTGCTAATTGTTAGAGGTAACACATCCCCATTTAAAAATGTACTTCACCATTTTAAAATGTACTTGACATTTTAGGAATCTTAGTTCCTGAATGAACCAATCAGATCTCAAATACATTTTTAATGAGATCTTTGGGAAATAAGTTACTGTGTCAACCAATCAGACATGGGTTTGTAATATGAACCTTACTCTTCAGGAACTAAGTTCCTCAAATAACCAATGACATGAAAGAATATATGCCATGTCATTGCTAAATTAAGATTTGTCTGTTTTATTTAAGTCAACACCAGATAAAACAGATAACAATAGATGGGACATTCTGCTAAAGTGCAGTAATGTTTCACATCAAACTGGATGCTATCTTTAGTAAAATATATATTCTTCTTTGAGGCTTTACTATTTTTATTTAGCCCTCGACATGTACAAGCTTTTTGTAAAGCTTTGTCACAGTTGTAATTTTACAGTAAAAATTAGTTCCATTCATTGTCTTTCACGTACCATAGAAATGTTTTGAATACACTGTGGTTAACACAGCGATGGAAACGCGCCTGATTGCATAAAATTCTACAGAAATCGTTGACAGAAAATGCCACCAACAGTTTTGCCGCGCTTTTTATCTGCGCCGAAAGCCGAATAT